GTGTTTTTTTTGTCTCTATGTTATTTATTTCCGCTCTGATCTTTATTATTTTCTTCCTTCTGCTTACTCCAGGCTTTTCTTGTTGCTCTGTTTGTAATTTTTTAAGTTGTAGGGTTAGATAATTTATTACCATTTTTTTCTTGTTTTTTTGAGGTAGGTCTGTAGAGCTATGAACTTCCCTCTCAGGACTGCTTTCACTGTGTCCCACAGATTTTGGTTCTTTGTGGTTTAAAAGAAATATTTAAGTTATAAAATGACTTAAAATCCTGTCTAATTTTCTCACCCTTTAGAATGTCATGTTTTTGGATTTGGCAAAATTATATGACTTTCCGTACATTTAAAGAAAGGAATTAGAGGTTCTACAGTAATGAGCAGTCGTTTTAGGTTACTTGTCTTTTAACTTTTGTATATTAACCTATAGAAGGACAGTAGACATAATTTACTAATAAAGGACTAAGAGAATACCAAATCAGGCAACTATCATAAACTTTTTAAAACCCTCCGAGACTGAATTCGTAGAATTCAAGATTCATTCTAGAGTAAAATCAACTTTGTCAATTAGATTGCTTCTTGATTTTTAGACGCAGGCCCACCTAAAAGGGGAGACTGAGAAAAGCTGAGGGTATGGCATATGTTTGTAAAAAATCAACTTTCCTTCTAAACTGACTCAGTAAGAGCTGGGTGTCAAGGAACATCAAAGGTATGTGAGTCTTTGTTTGAAAAGAAATGAAATATGTAAAAGGGGATCCCCTTGAAGTTACTGAGTTGAAAAAGAGTAGTCACTGTAACAAAGATGATCATTTTTGTGTTGCCGTAGGTTTGAGTATTTTATGATTGAGTATTTTAAAAATGTTCAATAGGCTGCCATTCTATGGATGATGCTGTAGTGGCATGGAGTGTTGCCGGTTAGGCTGGGATCCTGCCATGCTTGGGAGCATGTGGGGCAGGAACACTTGGTAGTACTCCACCTTTTCCACCTGGAGAATAGTCTGACTAGAGACATGTTGAGGTACAGCTACATTCCAAAGGCAGCCCCAAGGAAAAAACGATTCATCAGAGAAGTAAATACATTTCCATGCTATTTCTTTTTTTTTAAAATATGTTTTTATTGATTTTTCTTTTAAGAGAGAGGAAGAAAGAGAGATAGAAACATTGATGAGAGAGAAACATCAGTGAGCTACCTCTTGCATGTGCCCAAATCCAGGCATGAGCCCTGACTAGGAATCGAACCGGTGACCTCTTGTTTGATGGGTCGATGCTCAACCACGGAGACACACCAGCCAGGCAATTTCCATGCTGTTTCTTAAATGCCTTCAAAACATGGATGAACGGCTATTCTTTCTTCTTTAAAACCTAGAAACAAGAAAAAAAAAGCCTTTCAGTTTTAAAGCCAAGTAGCTTGGCAATCCAGTCGCAAACTATATTTGTGCTCCTGATGCTTGCATGATTCAGTTGTTCCTTCTAATAAAATATGCCTTGCTTTCCCCTGGATCAGTGATGGGGTTTAATGGGTGAGAGTGAGGGCCCTGTTCTCATCTGGCTAACATGACTCTAGTGAAATGAAACGATAAGGCTGGGTTTAGGATTAAAGCCTGTGTTCTTCTGGTTTACCTTGGGTTCCTCTGTTCTACAGTAAACCTCTTAGTTGAAACTTATTTACTATCAAGCCCAAAAGGTCTACCAAGAATTAGTATTAGAAATTGACCCTAGTTGCAAATTGTGGATATCATTATGGTACTGTATTATTGAGGGTCGTATGAGTCTGTTCTTGACATCTTTCCCTGTATAGCTTCGGAGGGCACAGAAAGAGTCCTCAATGGTGGATCCTGGTTTTGTTGTTTCCTCCAGAGGTATATACTTTTTTGTATCTTTATTTCAAATTTATTTCTTAAAAGTCTTGATTTTTGTTGTTACTGGTATATATTCAAACAGCTAATTTAATCATGGCATTATTGGAATATTTGTATTGCAAAACACCATGCAAGGCTCTAGGCCAGAGGTTCTCAACCTGTGGGTCGCGACCCCTTTGGCAGTCGAATGACCCTTTCACAGGGGTCGCCTAAGACCATCCTGCATATCAGATATTTACATTACGATTCATAACAGTAGCAACATTACAGTTATGAAGTAGCAATGAAAATAATTTTATGGTTGGGATTACAACATGAGGAACTGTATTTAAAGGGCCAGAAGGTTGAGAACCACTGCTCTAGGCCAAGTCAAAGTGAATTTTATCTCCAATCAGTATATTTTTTAAAGCCTTTAAAAAAAATCCTCACCCAAAGATACATTTTATTGATTTTTAGAAAGAGGGGAAGGGGGAGGGAGGAGGGACGCAGTTGATGAGAGAGGACCTTATCGATTGGCTGCCTCCTGCACGCCCCCTACCGGTGAGAATGTTTTTTGTGTGTGTGTGTGTGTGTGTGTGTGTGTGTGAGAGAGAGAGAGAGAGAGAAACATCCATCAGTTGCCTCCTGTACCTGTCATGACCAGGGACCGAACCCGAAATCTACATATGTGCTCTGATTGGGAACTGAACCTGCAGCCTTTTGGTGTATGGACTGATGCTCCAATCAACCCAGGCAGGGCTAGAAAACCTTTTTTTAAAAATACCTAAATTTAACCTGCTCTAGAATTGGGTTAAGGACCTAGAATTGGGGGTTTATTAATGGGTAGAATCTGAAGGCTTCCATTATCTATTCAGTTAATGAACTGGAAGAGTGGACATGAAAAATATATTTTTAAAGCCATGCCCTTACCTCGTTTTGAGCTCTGCAGTGGTTAGATATGTGTTCTGACTGGCTTATCAGAGTATGTGTCTATTTAACGTAAGTCCAGAGGGAACTGGGAGCACACATTTACAGAGCAAGGCCGGGACACTTCAGGGTTTCTTCTTTAATGTATGCTTTTTTGTGCCCTCACAGCCCTTAGTATTGGCATCTGCTCGCTAAGTTGGTTTCTGGCTCTTTTGGGAAGTCATTTGTTTTTTAAGGATTTATTAAATAAAACCTGTTCTATTTTTATTACAGCATTTTACATGTTCAGTGACATTTGTTAATATGATAGCAAATCTGTAAAGCCACTAGAACCAAACAAAGGTCACTTCAAAGTACCCAGCTTACGAAGAACGGAGCAGCCATATCCCTAGGAAATTATCAAAGCCAAGCTCAGTTGCCATGGCAAGTCATTTGTTTTTAATTTGGTTAATGCAGATGAAAACTATATAGGGAGGCAAGAGGAGAAATGGGGGAAAAGACAAAATTGTTCAAGCATGTAGGGATGTGCATAAACAATTTCAAAGACTTCATACAGGTGTAGAGAGGTAGGAAAACAGCAAATGGGAAGCCTTCAGCAGCTTGAAAGCTGTTATTTTGAGAGTTGCAGTATTTGAAGGCAGACAGCACATTTTAAAATAACGGTGAAATTTAATTTTTTCCCACCTTAAATGGAATTAAGCATAATTTGGTCATCATTTTATTTTGATAGTTGTGGGTCTCCGAATGAATACCAGAGCTTTGAAATTTTAGATGGCCCACGGCAACATCTCCATTGTTTTCATGGTATATGAAGATATTTTTTGTCTCTTTTAAGCAAAACAGTGCATTTTTCTCTTTCTAGTTCTTCACAAATGACTGTGAATTAATTATTTATTTTTATATTTTGCAGTACATTTTTATACCTGAAATTTCTGGTAGTGTGGGCACTTGTCCTCCTGGCAGATTTTGTCCTGGAGTTCAGATTTGAATACCTGTGGCCGTTTTGGCTTTTCATCAGAAGCGTCTATGATTCCTTCAGATACCAGGGACTGGTATGTTTATTAATACGTTTTTCAAGTATAATGAATTTAATAACCCTTCCAAGAAAATCTTCAATAACTGATAATGAAACTGTTTAAAGTAGATTTTATTAGTAATATTTAGGGGACTGTATTGAGCTAAATAGAGTCTATGAACTGACTCTAAGGCTATTTTGTTAAACCCATTGATCAGATTAATAATCCCTCCTCCTCTGCCATTGCAGTGAAAAGAAGGAGGACTCCCGGAGGGAGGCAGAGTAGGGGAGGAAGAGCAGTTACCCCGTCCTACTCTAAAGTGTTTCTGGAGCCCCTGTCACTGTGTTGGTGATAGGCTTAGAGTTAGAGCAGTGCTTCTCAAACTTTATGGTTTCAGAACCTGTATACATCCTTAAAAATTATTGAGGACTCCAAAGAGCTTTTATTTATGAGGGTTACATTAATCCATATTTACTATATTAGAAATTAAAACAAAAACTTAAATATTTATTAATTCACCTAAAAATAATAACAAACTTATTACCTGTTAATACAAATTACATTTTTAAATGAAAAATAAATATATTTTCCAAAACAAAAATATTGGAAGATCGACTACAGCTTTGCAAATTTATATAATGTCTGGCTTAATGGAAGACAGCTGGATTTTCACATTTGCTTCTGAACTCATTTGATTGCAATATCACATATCATGTAGCTTCTGGAAAACGCCACCATACTCTTGAGTGAATGAGTGTGGAAAAGACAGATAACATCTTAGTATTATTATGAAAACAGTTTTGACCTGGAGGACTTGCTGAAAGACCCCTAGAGATCCCCAGACCATGTGTTGAGAATTGCTGGTTTAGAGCAAGGGCACAGGTCTTATAGTTCTGTTGTGTTCCATAGCCACATCTTAAACTTATAACTCTCTCTACCTGGGCATGGTGCTTTGGTCAAAGCAAATCTATGCCTTGAAAAGATGGTTTTGAGCTCATGTCCCATTGGTAATAGGTAGAAGTGTGTCCCGAGGAAAGCTGTGTTAGTAAAATCACTAACATCAGCATAATTCTTATTATTTAGTTTGGTTCATATGTGCTCCAGCAGCCTACCCTTTAAGAATGAGGCTCTTTAGGAATGTATTGTAAGGAGAGAGGAGATTTTTCGGTGTTAAAATGCTAGTTCTTTTAGTAACCTACCTGTGGAGTCCAATGAACTCACTTGAACCAACCTCAGTTTGTTTTAGTCCAGTTCTTCATGATTTGAGGCCATAAAAGGATTACTCTTTAACATTAAATTAACACTATTTTTTATATGGTTGATTTTAAATGTTTAAAATTTCCTGTTACAACTTGCTCTGTAGTTATTGCATAGCAGTTTCAGAGATTTTGTCCAACATATTTTTAATAATCTCTGTTTGAAAATAACAGGTTCTAAGAGGTGTTTCTTATTTTGTTTTGTTTTTCCCTTTAGGCCTTCTCAGTGTTTTTTGTTTGTGTAGCATTCACGTCAAATATCATATGTCTGCTGTTCATCCCCATACAATGGCTTTTTTTTGCTGCTAGCACATATGTATGGGTTCAGTACGTATGGCACACAGGTAAGTCTTCATGATTTCTTAAATGGACAAAAATCTTAGATTCAGACTTCTTAAACGTGATTAATCTTTAAATAAATTATTTAGAGTTCAGTTTAATATAGACATTTTAAAGTTGTCTTTTCCTAATAGATTATAATATACCTTTAAAATATATTTTATTTTTTCATTATTAAATCAAAAGTTTAAGCCTTTATGACTTGATATCTCGATTGTTACTGCTGTCGTCATCATTTGTTGTTGTTGTTTTGTTAATCCTCACCTGAGGATATTTTTCCATTGATTTTTCAGAGAGAGAAGAAGGGAGAGGGAGAGTCAGGAAGAGAGAGACATCGATTGGCTGCCTCCCACAGGCGCCCCAACCAGGGCTGGGGATCGAGCCCACAACCAAGGCACGTACCTTTGACTCGAATGGAACCTGGGACTCTTCAGTCTGAAGGCGACACTCTATCCACTGAGCCAAATTGGCCAGAGCTCTCATCATCATTTTTTTTTTAAAGTCAAAGTGATTCATATTTAGGTAGACTTGAAGACAGCTATGTGCCAAATAGGAAAAATGTTCTGGGAGTTTCAGCTTGAAAGGAAGTCAGAGGTCATTTAGTTGCAGCCTTATTTGGTATAGCATTCCTCACACATGGTATTAGTCTCTGTTTGAAAACCTATAGTGACAAGGCGCTTACTAGTACTACTGTTGTTTTGGGGCATCTGTAATAGAAAATTCTTTCTCATACTGAGCCAGAATTTTCTTCCTTATACTTTTGACCTAGTACGTTTTAACTGTTTTTGGACTTACTGATCTGACTTAGAGGATATAAACTTTAAATTTCATTAAAATTTCAGGGGAGCTGCAGGTCATCTCCTCATGGCCAAATATTGGACCTCCTTACATTAGAGCCACACTGAATAGGTGTAACCTCCATCCACATTAATATTTCTTTAGAGAGTTAAAGACACTGTCATATCCTCTCAAGTCTTCCTTTCTGGAGGTAAAACATCTCTGGTTTCATCAACTTTTCCTTGTGTGTTATTTTAAGCACTTCATCATCCTAATCTCCCTAGTTCTTAGTGGGTTTGTTTTTTTTAAGAATCCTTATCTTTTTTAAAAATGTTTTTATTGATTTTAGAGAGAAGAAGGGAGAGGGAGAGGGATAGAAACATCAGTGATGAGAGATAATCATTCATCGGCTGCCTCCTGCATGCCCCACACTGGGAAATAGAGCCCGCAACTTGGGCATGTGCCCTAACAGGGATCAAACCATGACCTCCTAGGTTAGTGATGGCGAACCTTTTGAGCTCGGCGTGTCAGCATTTTGAAAACCCTAACTTAACTCTGGTGCCGTGTCACATATAGAAATTTTTTGATATTTGCACCATAGTAAAACAAAGATTGATATTTTTGATATTTATTTTATATATTTAAATGCCATTTAACAAAGAAAAATCAACCAAAAAATGAGTTCGCGTGTCACCTCTGACACGCGAGTCACCTCTGACACGCGTGTCATAGGTTCGTCACCTCTGTCCTAGGTCATGGGTTGACACTCAACAACTGAGCCACACCAGTGAGGCCTTAGTAGTTCTTTTAACCGAAATGTATTGTTTCAGGTATGTTCTGACTTGAAGTTACACAGTCACCTCCCTTCTTCTGACTGATATTTCAAATTAAGATGAAATGAGATGTTTTGACAGTTCCACTCCACTGTCGAAGACTGAACATCAGATGAATAGGGATGTGATCATTTAACTTGTCTGCAAAGCTGCCTGAAACTTGATTCTTAGGACCAACTGCAACCTGTAGGATTTTAACCACTTAGGGAACACCAGCTAATAAAAGCTCTCTGGAGCAACATTCATCCTCTTCTCAAAGTTACTAAGAGGGTGGTGTTGGCCCATGTAGAAGACGCAGTGCAGCTCTGTTATTTAAAGTATCCGTCATGAGCAGTTTTCTCCATCTCCATCTTCACCACTCCTTCATATATGACTTGCTTTATAAGCTAGCATGATGGTTTCTGAGTGTGCTTTCCTCTAATTAAAGAGATTTTCCTACACACCAGTTTTTCCTTGTATTTCCTTGGCTTGGGCCTGTTTCGAGTGAGTTACCATTTACAGTAGTCACTGTCTCTAGGTCTCAGTTTATTCTTTGTCATATGAAAGTGGAGTAATCTAGATAATGTTTAAGGGAGCCTTCCAGCTCAGATAATCTGTGACTCTGATGAACTATAATGATTTCCTAAATTACTTTAATAATGTCTCAGTAGTTAAGAAAAAACTACTCATATAACTATTAATAGAATCTGCTGGGAACGAGTTTGGTGGGTGACCCACAGGGCAGCAATGAAGCTAATGTCATAAGTGAGACTGGCCTCTCTTTAGCCCTCGGCTCAGAAATGTATGTTGGAATAGCTACGCTGCTAAGTATGTTTTAATTAGGAGTGATTGGAGCTCAAACAAACAAACAAAACAACTTTGTGTTACTATTGGGCCTAACAAACATGAGTGCAGTTTATATAACTTGGGATTAATTTTTTCCCAGTTGTTAAAATGTAAAATTCTTTCTTAAGAATATTAGGAATGGTTGATGAAATTATATATTGTCACAAAAGAATATTATATTATAAACTTTTCCCCTTGCTGTTAAGAGGGGGGAAATAGGATACAAAATTGTATGTACAACATGACTGTTGTTCAAAAATATTTTCAACATAATTTTATTTTATTATTTGATAGGTTTAGAAATACAGATATTTTGTCCAAATTTTTCTATTTTTTTCTGTAATGTAATTTATGATAATCTTAGAAATTAATATAGGGAGTAAGGAATATAACTTTTTAATGTGTTTTTATTGATTTCAGAGAGAGGAAGGGAGAGGGAGCATCGAAGAGAGAGAAATATCAATTGGCTGCCTCCTACACACCCCCTACTGGGTATTGAGCTCACAATCAGGGCATGTGCCCCAACTGGGAATTGAACCAGAACCTCCTGGTGCATGGGACGATGCTCAGCCAGCCAACCAAGCCACACTGGCCAGTTGGGAATATAAACTATTTTGAAACTAATATGAAGATGCATTTTTCTAAAGGTTGCTGTCTATCATCCTATATTGTAAAAATACCTTTTTTTTGTATAATCTATAAGAATGATTGAGTCAATTAGCTACATTCACAAAGGTTGGGAGTGTTTTCCTTCTTTATGGACTAGGCCTAAGGGAACTTAGGTTTATGCTCCTTAGAAGCAGACTTAGTGTTATCTCTGTAAACTTGGACCAATTTGTATAAACTCTGGGCCTCACTTTACTCTTCAGTAAAATAAGGAAGTACGGCTAAATGATATTCTTTCTAGTTCCAAAATTGTATGATTTATTTGTTTGTTTGTTTTATCCCAAAGATCCTTAGTAAAAAGCTTTAGGTCACTGATTTTTCTCCCCTAGTCTCTCTTTTGTAACTTGCTTGCCTTATACAGTCTAAAAGGAGCTCTTTCCACAGTTGTTGGACCTCATGCCTATGTAGTCCATATTTATAAAATACCCCATTATTAGTCATATCCTGACAAAGATGGACCTCGCTACAGATTTTGATTCCAAAACCAGTGAAAATTATTTCTTATTTGCAACTTATTCTGTTGCAAGCTGCTTTTTTCTTCCTTGGAAATTGTTTTTAATTACAAAGGGAATATGAGCTTGTAGTTAAGAAAAAAAAATTTTTTTAATAGTACTTAAGTGTCAGAAAAATTTCTTTGTGTTGTAGCTCATTTGTACTTTATTTTTTTACATATTTCATATTAGTACAGCTCTTCATTCTTTTGAAAACTGCATGATATTTTATTATATAAGTCAACCAAAATTAAACAGTTCCCTATTGATGGACATTTTAATTCTATTTTTTTACTGTTGCAAATAATAATACAGTGCATATTCTTATATACTTATCTCAAGGCTCTTATATTTCTGTAGGGTAGATTTCTGGAATTGGAATTTCTAGGTCAACGGTATAACTATTTTAAATTTAATTATATTGCCAAATTGCCTTTTAAGATGTTTGCCTCAATTTATGTCATTGCCAAGTATGAGAATGAGCCCTTTCTCATACCCTCCCTATACGATTACATGTCTTAAATTATGCTTATCTGATAGATTTAAAAAAGGAATCTCATTTTTAAAGTTTGTATGTCCCTAATCAGTAGTGAAATTGGGCCTCTTTTTATATGCTTTTTAGCCATCTATGTATTTTCTTTTATGGCTTATAATCATTGCCTTTCTGTTGATTTATAGGAGCTCTTTGTATGTTAGGGCTATAACTCCTTTGTTTACATATACTGGAAATATTTTCTGCCAGAATGTTTGTCTTTTATTTCTTCCTATGATTCCATAGCATCTTTTGTCATATAAAAGCTTTCAGTTTGTATTAAATTGCTTTTTAATTGTTTGAAAGTCTTAATGAAAGTAACTGTAGTTGAACCAGTCTTTCAAACAACCCATCTGTTCTGTTAGTTAATGTATCACTGATGCTTGTCTCTCTGCTGCTTTCCCACAGAAAGAGGAGTGTGTTTGCCCACAGTGTCCCTCTGGATTCTCTTTGTTTATATTGAAGCAGCAATTAGATTTAAAGATCTCAAAAATTTTCATGTAGACCTTTGTCGTCCATTTGCTGCTCACTGGTGAGTATTATGTATATTCTT